GGTCGGAGGAGGGGACTACAGCTGCATTACACCTGTGCCTGTTTAGAACTTCTATAACAAAAAGTATTTTTGAGTTTGACTTACCTTTAGATGGTGGTTGATGGCTGCAACTGGTTAGATACACAAGAGGATTTTTGGAAGCATTGTGTGCCATTGTTTGTAGATATCACATTTGGGACTTTTTCTTTTATTCACTTTATGGGACTTTGTGTTTATAATTTCAGAATGTTGCCTTTAAATTTTTACACTGATTTGTATTAAAAGAAAAGTTTGTTGTATGCATATATACAGTATATGATGTGAAAAGCACAGTCCTATTCAGGTCAGACTTTTGAGCATTTATTTTAAATTTTCAAAAAAGCTGCACATCCACAAATTTGATTGCAGTATACTTTATTATTATCTGTAAAAAATAAGTCAAGGCAACTGGACTTGCTGTATTGTTCTTGAAGACGTTTCACTGGTCATCTGACCAGCTTTCTCAATTCAGAATGACTTCTCTGAAATCTCTGGGAATAAATATGGTGGATGTTACTCCAATCCACATAATCTGCCACAACCAGGTGTTGATTGCATACTTTATTATTATATTTATTTGTATTGCATTTTATTTGTTAATTATTTAAGCACATTGTTTCAAGAGAGATCTATATATATATACACCATATACTGTAGTTAAGACAGCGCAAACATATATTGGGTATACCCGTCAGTTATATGTTTACTCCAAGTTACATGATGGGACTGTACAGAGGTTATGTAGATATTTTCTTTATTTTATTATGTTTAGGAAGAAGAAATTACATTTGTAATCAGGTAAATATTAAATATTCCATATGAATGTGTTACATTTCCATTCCCAGCCAGCAGGTGGATCTGCAGACTTCTTTTCATATACTTTTCAGGATATCTTTATTGAAAACAAAGCTTTGCTGACAAAGACCTCTTCTTTATACGATCCAATAGCTCAAGCTGAAGTTTATACACTCAAGTCAATCAGTCAGAGCAGTGACTCCTCCCTCTCCCTTCCTGCTGTATTTAGACTGCTTTGTATTAAAGGAGATGTAAAGTCCCCGCATATCCTCTCCTGTTATGACATCAGCATTGTAATAGGAATACATAGTAGAGTTTCTGATAATACAATCTCGCACCGGGCACAGCGGAGCCCGGGACAAGCGTGACAACGGGAGGGGGGGGCCGCGGAGGGAGGGG